GTTCGTCCGAATCTTTCGACAATTTTCTTCTCCTAAAAAAAAAAAAAAAAAAAAAAAAAAAAAAAAAAAAAAAAAAAAAAAAAAAAAAAAAAAAAAAAAAAAAAAAAAAAAACAACAACAACAACAACAGATAATTAGGTATAATAGATACAAAAAAAAAAAAAAAAAAAAAAAACCGTCGGAATTTCACGCGTTCATTTCATGGCGGCCAATTCGAAAGTAATTCATGTACGTATACTTATTCGCATTTATAAAACTATGGAACATTAGAGATCTTTATTGGGCCACTGGCTCTCTCATCTTTCTTTTTCTTTTTTTTTTCCCCCTCCTTCATTCCTTCATCTTCATTATCTTTTGTTCTTTTTTTTTTTTTTTTTTTTTTTTTTGTTTTGTTTCGTTTTATTTCGTTCACTCTAGATAGATGTGTGTATTCTCGTAGGAATAATCGAAGGAAATCGTACGTACGACTTTCGCGTTAATGCGAAGAAAGTGTGTATGTAATTTATTTTTTCTCCTATTTTTTCTTTTTATTTATTTTTTTTTTTTTTTCTTTTTTTTTTTTTCCTTTGGATACGCATAATCGACGAAAGTATGAAGGATGAGCAAATCTTTCTCCAGCATATAGATATTTCTTTTTTCTTTATTTATTTATTTATTTTTTTTTTTTGTTGTTGCTTTCTTTTCCTTTAAAGTTCTTACCTTTTACGCATCTACACACAATCCTCGAGAATTTAAGATATTAAAAGAAAAAAAAAAAAAAAAAAAAAAAAAAGAAAATAATAACAACAATAATAATAATAATAATGGAAGGATCTATTAACTTCGACCTTATTAAGTTCAAATCGTTCTAATCTCTACGTTCGCTTTCTTTGTCTCAATATTTCATGCGTGTAGGCGTGTCTCGTACAGACACATACACACAAATACACACTCACATATATACATATATATATATACATACATATATACATACATGTATTTCCGGATGGGTGTTTCACCCACGAAGAAGAAATTATCGGAATTCGTGCGAAAGTTCATTTCCTTTCGTCCTCACCAAAGCCAAGTCTTCTCTCTCTCTCTCTCTCTCTCTCTCTCTCTCTCTCTCTCTCTCTCTCTCTCTCTCTCTCTCTCTCTTTTTCTCTCTTTATCTCTCTTTCTCTCTCTTTCTCTCTCAGTAGGTCTATAAAAACGTAAATAATGAATTTAATCTCTAAATGGAATGAATGATCTTACAAAATGATTAATACTAATGTAATCATTAATACTAATGTAATTATAAATGTATTAACAAATGAATTGTATAATAATTTAATATATAATAATATAATAATGTAATAATGTATAATAATTTAATAAGTAAACAGTATAATAATTAACGTTATTTGTCTTTTTTATTATTTCTAGTAGTAATATTTTCTTAATATACCTTAGTACATATATATATATAAATTTTTTTTTTTTTAATACATATATATAAATATATACTTTTTTTCTTTTCCCCTAAAAATAGGAGAAAATAATCATGAGCTAAAAATACGTACCGTTTCTCGAAAAAAAAAAAAAAAAAAGAAAAAAACAAACTCATTTATGAAATAAATAATTTTATAACGCGAATAATTTAACTTCCGTCGAATTATGCAACGTTCGTCTTCACGTATATATGTAATATCTACGTGTAAGTGTGTCCTATTTTCCGAAACTTTATGAAGGAAACTGTTTGGTTCGAAATAAACAACGAAAAAAAAAAAAAAAAGAAAAAAGAAAAAAGAACAGAAAAAAAGAAAAAGAAAAATATCATGAGATTTAACAATCTCGCGTAATGAAATACTTTTACTACGGACACAATGTTTTATGTATTTTAAAAATATGATAACCAGATATGGACGTCCTGAATTGTATATTATTCTGTTAAAAAAAAGAAAAAAGAAAAGAGAGAAGAACGAGTACACAAAAGTAGAAGAATAATTTGCAAAATAAAAAAAATTATGCTCTTTTTTTAATATATATATATATATGTTTTTTTTTTCTATTGTAAATAATATATACAATACATATTATTCTTGTATAGAAAGCCATGTAACTTCTAAATCACATACTTGTATATATATATATACAATATATGTGTGCCTATATATTATTTAAATTTGATTTCACTTTATTATCATAAACTTATAGTTTTAAAAAAGTTTTATTTAAAAAGAGTATAATATAATTATACTAGAATAACATTTCAATGTAAAAAGAAAAAAAAAATTTATAATATAATATATATAATATATAATATGTACAATAGAATAAGTGATATATTAATGATGGAAAAAAAGAAATTGTAGTTATAAAAAAACAAAAAAAAAGAAAACAAAAAAAAAAAAAGAAATCTGTACATGGCCATAATAAATTTTTAAACAATATTATGTATTCATACATATATATATATATATATACATATATATATATATATATATATATATAGGAAAATGTCGCAACAAAGTTGTAAAGA